TATGTGATCGGTATCGGTGATCGGCCCTCATGGGTGATAGGAATCGGAATCGGCAGGAAAAAACCTGATCAGCAAAACCAAAGGAAGCAAAGTCTTATCCAGGATATCTGCTCAGTTTCTACAGATTTGATCAATATTTTAACCAAATTTTTTAATTTTCTTGTAAAAATCCAAACGGTTTGGTGGCCAGACTTCAGAAACCTGCAGCAGCTTCTGCCCGGCGGGACGGAGATGAATCAATCACAGGTTTAGCATCAGAGCCTCTCAGAGCTTCAGTCAATACTCCCATTGACCGCTTCCTGCAGTGGAGAAGCACTGAAGGCGAAAGAGTCTGATTAACGTCTGAACGTCTGTCTGCTGCGCCGAAGGTGAAGAGCGCCAATGATTTACTCTGAATGGAATGAAATTACTTATTTCTGGAAAAAATATTGATACAACTTGAACTTTTTTACATCACAGCCACCAACCTTTGGTTTTCTTATGGGATTTAAGGCCTGTGCCCAGCCAAAGTGGCAGCATCATGCTGTGAAGATGGTTGTCTTGAAACCACAAAGCTGGCTAACGATTATTCGTACAAGTTGAAAACCACCATGAAATTCAAAGCTGTGCACGTCTGGGTCGGTTGCGTCAGGTTTGAAACCACAAACATGCCAACATGCGTGTCTGCTGCAGCACTCTGCACCAGATACAACGCCAAGACAAGCTCGACACCCAGCAGCTACTTCTCTGCTGCTGAGGGCAGAAACGCTGCTGCACAGAAATCCACCAGGAACATCAAGACTGGGTTTATGTGCAGAAATATAAAACAAATGTTCAGCACGTAGTTGGTATAGCACGTTAGCATTAGCTTCCACCAAATAACATGTTGGTATAGCACTTCAGCATTAGCAGAACTAATGATAAGTGTTTTATGTTTAGCACAGCTAACTTTTTGGCTAGCGGTGTTCACCGCTTCCTGGTTTTACTGAATTGACCACCAAAGGGAGTCACATCTGAGCGTCAACCAAAGCGATGCCGTTTCCAGACAGATGGATCCGACAGCCAGGGCTAACAGTCGTTTTGCCAAGATTCTGCCTCACTAAAACAGAATCAGTAAAATAAAAAAGATTAAAACCTCCTGCGATTCCTGGCACAACTAAAACAGAGGATTTAAGAGCTCACACAAGGTGAAATGATTGTTGTAAATCTGTTAAATTTATGTACACTAATCTGGTGTGATGAGCCTCATCAAACCAACACAACTTGACCCCTAAGTGAGGCAGTTGTTCCCCGTATCCGAACCATATTTTACATTTAGACGATTAAACATTTCCTCATAAAAGTCCATCCCAGTGTATGAAGACCTGTTTCATGTTCCTGAGTGATTTTAGCACCTGAGCTAACTTATCGCTTCCTCCCAGGAGGAATCACACATGCTCGTCTTGTTAACTCTGAACCTTCATAAAGGTAACAGCCAGCAGCACTCAATTACACGGAGCTGAAGAATAGAAATCAATTGGCATGTAAAACTCTCAGAGGGCAGCAAATTAAAGACAAAGGGGAGAGTTTCTCAGCAGACCTGGGAGCTGGAAAGGAGACGCTAACTGAGAGAGGCTAACTGAAAGCAAGACATTAGAAATAAAATGACTTTTATTCTTGTAATTCTGATTTTAAAACATGTAATTATGATTTCCTGTTGGGTTTTAATTGTTTTTCATTCATGGCAGGAATGTGCTTCCATACAGAGCCCATTTAACACTTTAATGCTTTTATTTTAACCTTTTGTGACCAGTAAAGAAAATTATTTGTGGTTTTCTGAATCTTTTTAGACATAAAAACTGAAAACTTCTGCATATTCAGCCTCCATGAGTCACTACTGTCACAGATTCTAAACAAAAATGCACACCACACTTTTTAGATTTGTTTTTGCCAAAAAAACCAAACTTTACCTTAGTATGGCATTGCATATTTAAATCTATATTTATGATAGTAAATCTAAGTGATATGTAAAAACATGATTTAGAACCGGTTTATGAACTTCCTGCCAGACACGCCCACACCAACAAAAACCCAAACCAGAAGCTTCCAGGACAAAAGGAAACGTTTGGGAAAGACCAGCTGATAAAACGGCAAAGTTTTCTCTCTTGAAGCTTTGAGTTACATCATCCAGTTTGTTGAGGGATCAAAAAGTAGCCTGTGAGGCTGACAGGAGAAGAAGAACGAAGCATTCTGGTTCGACATGTTTGCTTTGGGTCTGAAACGCCGGCAGCCTCTGATCGGCCGACAGAGTCCCGCAAACACACGTTTAAGTACCCTGTGATAAAACTCTCTCTCTGGATCCCAGAGCCACACCCACACTAACAACACTGGTGACAAAATGTTTGCTTAGCTGGACTGGATCTGGGTTTAAACATGTCCGCCTCCTCCAGGTGTGGCTGCTGCACCGATCCTCAGATAAAACCAAAAAATTACTTGATTTTAGCAAACATTAAGCTAAAAGACAACAGATTCTGAAGGAGAGGCTTTTCTTTCTGCTAAAATGGAGTTAATCCTCCCCACTGTCACCACGTGCTTCCTGAGAGAAAGTCAACACATGGGAATGAAACGATTAATCGTGATTAATCGATTATTGTCAAATAGTTTAGTCACCGGTTAATCATTAACTGGAGTATATGTATTAAAAAAAAGTCTGTTTGCTGAAAGAAGAACACAATCAGAGCAGCAATTAATTCAAAACTATACAAGATTTACGAAAATCTTTGTAAATCTGTTCTAAATGAAGTGATGAAGTTTTGGCTTCACTCGGTTCAAATTCTGCAAAAAAAAGCACAATTTTATCTAATCATTAACTGATAATGCAAAAATTAATAATCTATAAATGATCCAGCGTTCACTAACAAAAGGCCATTTTATTGCATTTTTGCAAATTAAAAATGTAAAAATAGGATTAAATGGTTTATTTGCATCTTTTGATATATTTGATATGCATATATATATTAAGTGGTTAATTGGATAATCTGGCAGTATGTGCCAATTTTTTGTCTGATAATCGATTAAGTGTCTGAATAATTGATAGAATAATCAATTACTAAAATAATTGTTAGTTATATAGCTTCTTAATCAGATTGAGGTCCAGACTTTGACTAGGCCACTCCTTTATTTTGTTTCTGCGGAGCCATTCAGAGGTGATATCGCCTCTTTGACTGAGAATAAAGCCTCAAACTGATGATTCAGTTTGAGACCCAGTCCCAGATCATCATACTGCCACCACCGTGCTCCGCTGTACATGTGTTTTCTCTCTTTGGATGCTTTAGGAGTAAAAACGCTTCTAACGAATTACTTTGAAGCACTTTCCAGACAATAAATTTCTGAGTTTTAATTTGTTGTGCTTTGCAAGCACTTTGTATTGCCTTGCTGCTGAAAATGTGCTATATAAATAAAATTACCTTTAACCTTTAGAAACGGTGTCGCGTCGACAGACTGGTTCTAATGTTTCCTGATTCTACAGGTTTGGTAGCATTCACGTGTAAGTGAAGCTACTTTCCTCTCTACTGGATTTAAATACCTAATAACTGAAATAATAATCTAAAACTATTTCTTATGTTCACGCTGGATATTTTAACCTGGTATTTGCATGTATTTGATTAAATAAAACTTTAAAAAGCACCATAAACACAGTGGGTTGTGTTGGTTCTGGATTAGGTTGTATATTTCCTAAGAAGGAGCCCATCAGGACCGGGTTAATAAGAACCAGACCGAGCTTTTCAGTTGTTTTGGACCTCCTCTGCTGCTCAGTAATGAATAGAAGCCATTGTGTCTCCTAGATACACACTAACCAGAATGTTTGGGTAAATTTTAACCAGCAAACACCAGTTTCTCTGCTGACCCAGTAAGGGTCCACAAAGGACATTTAGGCGATGACAGCAGATCATCATCATCAGCACCGGGTCGCTGCGCATCAGCTGTTACAATAACATGTCGCTTGGAAAATCACGTCACGCACTCGGTCTATATATAAAGATTCAATCTGAATCTGGACTCATACCTGGTCGAGTGGGAGGTCTATGATTTCGCTGATTGGCTGTAGCAAAGTAGATCCAGTGCAGGATGCGGTGGTTTGGGTCGCCATGCTCGGGCTGTGTCAGTAAATCCTTCCCCTCCCCGGTTCGGTTCGGCTCGGTTCGCTTCGCTTCCCCCCGCCGCTGTGTTAAAGCCCCGGCCAGCCGAGCAGCACCGCTGTTTTTGCGACGAGCTGGACGGTTGTCATCCACAGCAAGGCGTCCGCCAAAGAGGAGCGACTCGAAGCGAGAGTGTGACCGCCCTCTTTCCACTGCTTCGTCTCCGGCTGCAGGGCCGGTCCGGTCCGGGTAAAGGCCCCGAGCGGAACTTGGGCGCTCACTTCCGGTTAAGCGCTTTGACTCCCTGTTGCTGAAGCTTGCGTCATATTTTCAAGTATTTTTTTTATTATTTAGAACAGCACCAGATGCTTTATCATTCTAAAGCATAACATACCTGTTATCATTAGCATTGTTTGTAATTAGCTTACATTACACCAGTGCTATTATGGCAAACAGAACAAATTTGATTTTGAAATACAATGGTATTTTTAAGTGTGCCATATAATTTTAACTCTGAATGTAACTTCAATTGATAAGGGCTAATTTTAAATAAGTTAACAAGTTTGATATCTTCTAATTTTTCCGCATTGAGTAATGTTTAGCTTTTTCAATTTGAGCTGGAGTGCATTGAAATATGCACTCCATGGAGATGAAGATGAAGAAGAGAGTTAGCTGCTGCTGTTTGGAAATGCTAACCCAAAGAAGAGGGTAGTGGATGCTAGACAGAGCACCAGTTTGTAACTCAGACTGTTTACGGTTAGCACTGGGATAAAATATTTTATCAGTTATTTAATAAGAATGATGTTACAGCAACCTGAAGACTCTTCATTTTCACTTTAAATTTTTAATCTGTTTTGATTTTGTGTTAGCTCTTGTTTATGGCGATAGCTCTGGCTAGTGTAGCCAGAGAAAGAAAGATAACATATAAAATAAAAACCATTAAAACTATTATTAAATATGCCATATTTAATAATATCATATATTATTAAGTATTATCTAAGCTGATTTTAAAAACATGAGTTTGAATCAGTTTTTCTTTACCTCTCTGGAGTTAAAACAAAGGCTCACTGCAGCTGGTTCTATAAATTTATAGAACCTGCTGGTTCTATAAATTTATATTATTTTTGTTTTTAAATTTTAAATTGAGGAGTGATATGTTTTTTGAACTTTTACGCTGTACTTTGGGTTTCAGTTGCGCTGGGAGGGGAACAATCTTGAACTGCGCTTCATCTTTGACCACAATGAAAATAGTGTTGGCCTGAGTGGAGTCATGGCGGCCCAGCCCTCTGTCATATAACCATCTATTTCTGACCAAATATGCTGTAAACCAGATTAAAGTCCAGAACTAACATGACCACAGCGGGATTCTTGATTTTATTTCGCGTTTCTGGTGTCAATAAGCACCAAACTCATATGTAACTGACGTAACGTGCAACATTTCCACATGTGAAGAGCAACTGCATGACGTCAGAAGGATGTCATATATGATTCATATGCAGAAAGTTCATCACCAGGATCAGCGTCAGGAGTCTTTTGTTATAAATAGATATTGATTGCTTTATGAGCCGCAAATGAAGTATGTTTGTAAACAGCAGCGCTGTTATAAATTAGTACATTAAAAGCAGGTTGTTCCGTCACAGATATCAGCTGTGATTTGTTTTTGGTTTATTAGCAGAAAAAACTGGAAAATTTTATTGTTTTTTTAAGTGCAGGAATTACCTCTCACAGAGAATTAAGTACAAACTGCTTTTTCTTGGTATTGTTCCTAAAAATACGTAAACTAATGGAAACAGTGTGATTAATCTGACTTATTCTTAATAAATTGTTGTCTAATTTCCTTAGTTACTTTAACGACACTGTCAAATAGCTCCCTCTAGTGGAAGGATGTAGGTTATGACAGGTGTTATATGGACAACATGTTTCTCTTTCTTTGTTTCAATTATTTCATTCTACGTTCAGGGAAACAGACTCATTCACATATATTTCTAATAATTCAGCTATGCCTCCTTTGAAATACTGGTAGCTGTACCTCATTCCGGTGGCCAACAGAGGGCAGCACATACCTACCGTTCCTCCACAGTTAAAGATTTGAAAGTTTTGCGCAGTTTAAAGTTGAAAACAACAAAAATTTTTATTTGAAAAAAAAAATGTTCAGGGTAGAAGCAGATAGATATAAGCTTATTTCGACATGCACTCCCAGTACAAGAAACGTTTACAAAACATGGCATATTTAGATTTAAAACCAATCCCAAAATATACAAAATGGTATAAAATTAAAAATTCATGACTTCTATATAATGTTAACATACATTCAACATACATTTTAAGCCCTGCGACAGATCCTCAGTTAGATTTACAGTGCTTATATAAAGTATGGAGATTTTTAAAAATATTACTTTTGCAAATCAATGCATATGTTTAAATAAATAAAAAATTCCCTTCTCACCCTCCGCGTGTGGTCTCTCTTTTTTCATCCTCTGAGCTCGGGTCCTCTACCAGAGGCCTGGGAGCTTCAGGTTCTCCTCCAGTATCTTGGCTGTGCCTAGAACTGCACATTTCTGGACTGAGATGTCTGATGTTGTTCCTGGGATCTGTTTGAGCCACTGCTCCAGTTTGGAGGTGACTGCCCCGAGGTCCCCGATGACCACAGGCACCTCTGTGGTCTTCACCTTCCAGGCCTTCTCCAGTTCCTCTCTGAGGCCCTGGTATTTCTCCAGTTTCTCATGCTCCTTTTTCCTGATGTTGTGGTCACTTGGTATTGCTACATCCACCACAACGGCTTTCCTCTGTTCTTTATCCACCACCACAATGTCCGGTTGGTTCGCCATTACCATTTTGTTTAATATATTAATTATTTATGTGAAGGATCTATTGAAGCTCTTCCTGAATCACGGCGCCACAATACATGCACTTATTGTCCCACAGCTCGTCTATAATTAATAATCACTCATATTTACACGTGTAGAGAAAGAGAAAGAGAGGTCGAGGTATCCTGGGTCTCTCTCTCTCTCTGGGTCAGGCAGAGAGCTTCATGCCACTCTGTTGGCCGAGTCATTGTTCCTCCTCAGAGGTTGCCAGTTAATCCCACCTTTACAAAGAGATGCAGTTCGTTACGCTCGGATCATCATGGCAACCCGGGTCATTTCTCACAGAACTTCAGGGGGTCCAATGGTCTATTTAAAGTAACGTGACAGCATGAGGAGTGTTAATTCATTTATCACGAGGACAGTTTAGACAAGCTGCCATTATATTTGCATTCAGGACTCAAAATGTTCCCCCCAAGCTAAGCTGCATGTCTGAAAGCAGCTGCATAAGCTCCTTATTTAGCTAATAGTTTCTGTTTTGCTCCTCTGGGGACGAACTTCCTCTCTGTTTATGGACAGGAAAGGAAGCATCTTTGTGCTCTGAGGTCAGACTGGACTGACCTTCCTGAAATAGGACAAGTCCTCAGAGAGAGATGGACATGCTCTGTTTATTTACCGCCAGGACCGCCTGTGTGAAGCTAATGCTCTCATTCGCTCTGGCTAGCAGAGAGCAAGGCAACCTGTGGGACGGCCCTGCTAGCCGCAACAATACATATTACATTTAAACAATGCGTTCATTCGGTTATAAATGCCACAGTCTCAAACTAAATATTTAATTAGCAAGCTAGAATATTTAGTTAGTAAGTTAAATAGCTAGCTAGTTTGGAGCTAAATGTTTAGCTTGTAAGTTAAGTATTTAATATTTAGATTAGCTAAAGGTATAGTTAAGCTATATAATAAACTAAATAGTTAGCTCTGCTAGCTAAATATTTACTTATATTGAGCTAAGAAACTAAATAGCCAGTTTGGAGCTAAATATTTAATTTGTAAACTAAATATGTAGCTAGCAGCTCAATATTTTTACTTCAAGCTAAATAGTTAGCTAACGTATAACTAAATATATAGATTGTAAACAAAATTATTTAAGTTTAAAGTTTAGTTTGAAGCTGGGACATTTATACATGAATGAACAACATGGTGAGGAAATGACTAAAAAGTGAAGGCTTATTTTTTTCTCTATTAACATAAAAAAACGAAAACATTAACTTTAACTGTGTTCCTTATTATTGCTAAACAGGTGTTGCCATACTAAGTTGCATTAGTTGCTTTAAAGGTTTTGCCATATAAGTTCATTCCTTTAGATTCTGGTTTATTCTTAATGTCTGTTTTGTTGTATTTTTTTCTCTTTTGCTACTCAAAGCATCTGTTTTGCTAAGGATCCTTTGAGTTCATCCAGTTCTGATTAGGATATTCGTTACAATATTACAGTAACTTAAGGAACAATAAGAAGCTAAAATCAGAGATTCATGTTCTGATTAAGAAATAAACCAATTTTGTAATATTCCACAGAATGGATGAATCAGGGGATCTAAACCAGGAAGTCCAGCCTGTAGCCACCATCTGACTTCAGCAGGACAAACACAAGCTTCCTCTGCTCTTTGTTTCATTTTCTGCCCCGGGTGGGGCAATTGTTTCCTCACTTACTTACCAGCTGAATCCCTGGAAAATGTGATGTTTTTCTTTTCAATTCCCCTTTTTACATCACTTTTCTTTCTCATACATCAAAAAGTGGAAATATTACAAAGGCTGTAAAAACGTCACATAACAGGATAAGTTAAAATCCAGAGTGGAGAGAAAATCTGCAGCTAAAAATTATTTTTTCTCGTTTTTCTACCTGGATGTTCAGTTTCAGAGAACAGAAAGTTGAGCAGATTCGTAAACAACGATGGAGCAGCGGCGCCCAGTCGGGTTCAAGGTCGGCTCACCGGTTCGTCAAACTGACGTTTGACTCAAACTTCCAGAAAACTGCAAAACAGCTGACTTTCTTCAAGGATTTTTCTGAATTTAGCTTCATTAACCCGTCCCTGACCACAGCATGATGCTGCCAACACCACAGTTCACCAGTAGGGTGACGTGTTCAGGCAAAATAAACCAGAATCACAACGCAATAAAACCAAGAACTTAGAAAATAAAGGAGCCATGAAGGAAAATTAGTAACCCAGGGGAGTTATGAGAGGGATCTGACAGCAGAATGACTGAGCAGAGGAGTATTTACTCTGAGAGTGATGACTGGAAACACAACTGATAAAATGATGGCCTTTGAAATGACTTTGATTGGCCAAAGTTTTGGTCAACAAAAATGGGAACAATTTTTGTTTTTCAAAGACTTTTCTTTAATCTTTGAGGATTTTTAGATTTCATGAACATTTTATTATCAAGCCAATAAAACTTAAAGAAAGGATAAATAATCTGGGTGTTTAACATTTCATAAATTTTGTGGTCTGCAAGTAAAACTAGATAGCAGAAAAGTGATTAATTGGTGAGGATTTAAGGTCAATCAGATAAATAATTTGCTGATCAGATTAAATAAAATAAAAAATTTTAATCCCAAACTGTTGTCGACGGAAGCGGACTACGACTGGATTCTGTGTTTCTCTGGGTGGGAAAGGTTCCTGCAGCGGCTGAGTTTAATGGCCTGAACTCGATGCCCCTCCATTAGCGTTCCCAGAGGGATCCAGAGACCCTGGACATGCAGCGCTCTGCTGTCGGCTCTCCTCTTCACGTTGGGATTCTGCATCGTTCTGTTCATCCTCAGCTCGGCCATTAGGAACCGGTCCAGCCTGGGGATTTGCACCATGGCAGCAGCGGCTCACCTTGGGAACCAAACAGGCTGCTTTGGATTCATGGAGAGGCAGAGCTGCTGATTCATCCTCCACCATGAACGGCTGATCAGAATGATAAGGTTTTATTTGTTTGGGTGCAAAATTCACCCTAACAATTTTGAACGAACCCAGAGAGACTTAAAGAAAACAAAAAGCAGATTAAACACAGTCCAGTTTTTCACTTTATGTCACATTGCAACTGCAAATCTTCATAATTAAATACATTTTAAATAAGAAAACCAGTCAGGAGCTTCAGAAGACCTGAGGTTGGGTGGAGGTTCATAATTGCTGTTTACGTTTTGAAAACCACCTAACATTTTTCTTCCTATTCATAACCTTGCTCGATTTTGTGTTGGTAATTTCATAAAATCCCGAATAAATACACAGAAGATGTGGGAAAGTTTACGGTTGTGAACACATTTTTAGAAATATAATTTATAAAAGCAACATAAATGATCTTATTCAGGAAATAAAAGAATGATTTCTCTCCCTCAGAGCAGAGAGGAGTTAATTCCCTTGGTGGGGATGTGAATGTTATATTTAGCATGTTGGGTGAAAGCAGCCATGAAGGAGAGTCAGGTTGGGTAAAAGTGACGGTCAGGATTTAATGAGGAACAGCAGATAAATGCAGAACCAATCCTGTGATGGCTCATAATTACTCTAAAAGTCACTCATTACCAGCGATGGGGAAGCAGCAGCTTTTCACCCAGAAATAAAAAATGTGATGATTTTATATTATTGGATGTCCTTCGTCTATGTCACACAAAGTTTTCCACATAATTGTAATAGAAGCACAGCTAATACTGTGTATTCTTATGCACAATTCTCAGTAGCTGCATTTCCATTAACCATAACTTTACATAACTTAAAATTACAAAAATAAATTCACCTAATGGAAACACATCAATTTAAAAAAATCTTCGTTAATGATTTAAAATTTTGGGCTAGGATAATGTTTTTTTTTTTTTCTTTTTACTGTATTGAAATTAGTTTATTTCACAAAACTGCATTTGAAACACTTTTTTTTAAATCATGAGTCACATGACCAATAAATGGATGTTACTACTGACGCAAACCATGAAGAAGAAGACAGGAAGTAGTTGTAGGATGTTTTCGTGTGAACAACGTTTTTCACGTCTGATTTTAATTGTGTTTCTTTTTAAATAGAAACATGGCAATTATGAAATTGTGTGTTTTTGACGTTATGACAAAGTTTTTCAAACATTTGTAATGAAAACGCAGCTAGAGGAGTTGGGTTTGGTGGAAAAGTGTAACTGGGGGTCATCTGCATAACATTGATCTGCTAAATTTATGGAAAATCTGATCAAGAAGAAGGAGATAATGTTATACTGAAGAGGACTGCAGAGAGATTTGAAGATTTAATGGAAAAATTAGAACAAAGGAGAACAAAAAACACCAGAAACAAACAAAAATACAAGGAGCATGACTGGGGGAACAGAATCTGACAGGATTTAACAAGAGGAACCAGTGAGGAGGAATGAGATAGAGGTGGTTAAATCCAGCAAATTACCTCTAACTCTACACTATAAATCAGGCTAATTGTCTATCAGGTTTCAGGTGTGAGGGGAGAAACAGCAACAAGACTGATCTAATGAAATAAAAACGATAGAAATAATAACCAAACTCTAAAGCAACTCAAACAACCCTGACAGATAACTAGAGACCCCAGATCAGAGCTTTGGGGAACACCACGGCAACTTTAAGGGTTTCAGTTTAACTCAATAAAATAAACTGATTTAATTATGAGTTCTGTCCATGCCTCATTAAAACGCCTTCCTAAACATTCGTCCCATTTCTTCAGCTGAATATTCTCAGCTACTGCCAGCTTCCTGTCTGCAGCCAGCTATTGTTTAAACTTGTCTTACAGTCTTTAATATACAAGATGAGTTTCCAGCATCACGCCGTCTAATTAGGACCCAGTTGGGCTAAAAATACGTCTTTCAACAAACTGCATATTATTTCAAACAAAGAAATCATTTGTTCTGAATTACTCAAAATGTTATGAGCGGAAAGCTAAAGTTTTCCCACCTGTTGCACAACTATGATGTCATCCTGTGCATTTAGGGAAAAAGTGACTCCCACTCAGACATCTGTGCTGTTAGTTGCTTTGACATGTTCCTGCAGACTCCAAGACAGCAATCCAGAGAGACCATTGGACGTTTGAGGCTCACACCCTGCAGCCCTGCACAATCATGTCTGTTTGCAGCTTTTGTTCTGTTGTTTAGCAAATTAGCTCTGATTTTGCAGGAAACAGATTCCCAAGCGGAGCAGTGATTAACGTGGAGGTTTTCGGTTTCACTAAATCATCTGGAGATGTTACAAAACACGGTAACCGTGACCAAAGCGTCTCCAAACAACTGCATGCCTGTGCTGCTGCGTGAGGCTGCATGCAGCCTGCATGCAAACAAAGTGTACATTGAGCTGCTGAATGAGGCTTCTGTTCTGTTCAACCAGGCAGCTGACAGCTTGTGCTCTTTTCAAGCAGCTTGTAACAAAATTTGAGGTGTAAAATACTAATAAATTTAGCTTTTTGCATATCTTGCAATTTAGTTTGCAGTGATTTTCACCTCCTGCAGCAGAATTTGTTGGAGTTTGTTGCTGCTCCGTCTGGATGGCAGATGTCCACACAGAGCCTGTTTATTCATTTTCACGAGTTAGTTGAAGTCGCCTACAAGCCTGTCGGGGTCAGCCTGGGTCTTCGGCTCCTCATTTAGCAGCTTGCCAGGAGATGCTGCAGAGCTGAAAGAATGTGTGAACACTGCCCAGTTCCTGATCTGAGGGTTGCCCAGGGTTTAGCTTCGCCTGCTGCTGCTGCTGATGAGGATCCACTGTTTGGTTCCTGTTGCTGTCCAGATCAGACATGAATAAGCCTCAAAACATCAGGTTTTAAATTATAGGTATCTTAAAAGATTTTAATAAATGGGAAAGTTTTCTGTTTTTGAAAAAAATAAACTTCTAAATATATGTATTCACAGTTAAATCAATGATTCATCCACAATAGACACATTACTAACGTGTTTCTGTAATGAGTCTTACTTTGGTAATTCCCTTATAGTTATAAATACAAACAATATGAACTGAGCCCTGAATCATCTTAAACCTGCCTGATTCACCCATTTCCACCTTAACAAAGAGGAGGCCGTAGACTGCGCAGTCTCGGTGCTGCCTTTAAGGGCTGTTGGAAATTTAATAATCAGTGAAAATACTTTGTAATTTTGTTTTTGTTTTAATTAACAGAGATTTTTTTCATATGCAACCCCATTAGATTAATGCTGTTTTTATAGTATCAAGTTATTAAGAGAAATACGGCCTATTTAAATGATCATAACTTGTGCAACTGCTACATCAAGGGTGTTCAAAGTGGGGCTCAGGGGCCATTTGTGGTCCCTGGTCGGATTATTTCGCCCCCCAACCACGATTCAAGTATAAATTAGAACAAAGCAAAACCTTTTAATTCAAAGTGTTGGACTGCTTTAAGATGTTTTATTAGAACCTGGCTGAGTACAACAAGTGTTTTGAAATGAGATACAACAACCTTCACTTTCCCTTTGGGGTCAATAAAGTATTTCTGAATTGAATTGAAGACTGACCTAGGTCTTGTTTTTAATGTTGCATATAAAAAACAGTTTTCCTTCCTTCAGAAAACCTGTGAACTACATCAAACTCCATTTCTGTCAAGAAACCAACCAGTTCATGTATCTAAATCCAAATATCAGTTCAAATACGTCTCAGTAAGTTAAAATCTGGCCTGTTGAGGATCGTTTTAAAAAAACTCAGATTTAAAGTACATTGTAAGAATAACTTTTAAGCAGGTGTTGAATATACTTCTTGTAAGCCCACATTTCAGTATAAAATTTATTTTTATGAGTTTGGTGTAATATTCTAATAGTAACTGTCATATTTTCATTTACTGTTAGCAGTAAGTTATGATTAACACAAATAAGGTCTTGAAAACACTAGTCTGAGTGGAATTACTCTATATGATGCGTTTCACTGAGTCAAATAATTATTTGATTTCTTAAACATTACTATACTTTTGAGTCTGAGTAGATTTATAATGTGTGCATATAGTTGTTTTGAAAATCAATTATATTGCATACAATTTATTCAAATATTAGTTATTTTATTTTTATTTTTACGTTTTTATTGTAAAAAAACACTGTATTATACTTTAATTTATTCCAATTAAGTTTTACAAAGTACAGAAAACGTTCAATTTTGGTTAGATTTGGTTTTGAGTTGAGTATGATAGTTTCCGAACAGCACTGTAAAGCATCATTTTTCCTGAATTCTGATTGGCTCTCCGTTTCCAGCCGCTGCTTCCCATTGGCTGGTGAGTCTTCATTGAGGACCCTCCTCTACCTTTGTCACTTTGCGCTCCAGTTGAATCGCCAGCTTGTTGTTCCTCGGATCCCGGCGGAGGACAGGAGATCTTAGCTCACCCAGTCCGGATATCTGCCCCCGTTTTGGTCGCTTTTCTTTCCCCTCCGAGCTTCGAGGATGAGCCGGTGAACTGGATGGGGAAGGAGTAGCCTGCTGGTCGGCTGAGCTATCACCCTGCGGCGCGGCGCGGAGCTCCAGTGTCGGGAACAAACAGCGGGGAAGGGACGTAAATAAGCCCGGAGATGGTTCACTTTCCGCGGGGACCTTCGGCGACTTTACTGCTGCTGACGGCGCTTTAAAATCAGATTTTTTAAAAAACTGAACAGACAAGAAGGAGGTTAGATTAAATCGCTTTGTGGATTAACGATGCCGGACCAAATCACAGTTTCAGAGTTTGTCACGGAGACAAATGAAGATTATAAATCTCCAACCGCCTCTATTTTCACCACCAGGATGTCCCACTGCAGGAACACAGTGGCTGCTCTGGAGGAGGTGGGTGACCATGCTGCGGTTTTTATTTTTAAAAACAAAATGCAGGATTTCAGTACTTTTTACTCCCATTTACTCTGCTACCGCCTAAAACTCAGTGACTTAATTAGTAAATATAGTCCACCTGAGCAGGTGTTGGTAATCCAAAGCAGGCAAGATGCTCATAGTAACTTTGGAGGAGCAGCAGAGATCCACAGATAAGGTGTAAGAATCTGTTTTAGTTGTCCATAAAGTAAATAAGTTTGCATTTCTCCAAAAAGCCACACAACAAACATGTGGAAGAAGTTTCTCTAAAGTGCTGAATGTTTAGGCTACATGCTTCAGTCACCAGAAGGTCAAACCGTGCAGAAAACGCATGAATGAATGATGAGAACGCTGCAAAGTCCTCCAGACCACTAGGGGGAGTCTGGAATTGGTAATATTCCCTCCCTACGTAAACATGCTGCTGCTTTTTTATTGTAAAAGTAATTAATTATAACTCACATTTTCTTTCTTTCTCCAGCTTATAGTTAAAATCACGACTTCTGGTCTGGTCCTATACGGTTTGGTTCTCGACTCCCCCTAGTGGTCTGGAGGGCTTATGTTTAGTTTGCAGCACATTTGGTCCATATTTGTTCTTGTGCGTCCATCTCTTGTTTTATTGGTTGCTCCATTTTTTTGTTTTCTGTTGCGTTGTGTCTTTATGTGTTTTGAAGTTTGAATCCTTTATGTGTTTGCAGCGCATTTCCTGCACTTGTAACAGCCAATCCTGTTTGTAGGAGAACAAATCACCTTGAACAACCCTCACAGTGAAACATAGTAGTGGCAGCAAAATGCTGTGGGGATCCTTACAGATAGTGCTGGAAGAAACCAGTTAGAGGCTGCAGACTGGAGGATAACCGACGTAAACATGCAGCCAGAAATAAAAAGGATGGTTTAGGCCAGAGGTCTTCAACATGGGGGTTGCGAACCCTAGAAGGGCCATGGATGTACGCTGGAGGGGTCATGAGATTTCTGAATATACTTTTTTTTTTATTTAAAGTTATACTTTGACATGAATCAAACATGTTATAAGTTGATAAATTAAAAAACAAAAATATATTTCACACAAAAATTCACATTCAGCGAGCAAAAAAATCTGTTAAAATTCTGCATTCACTTTAGCATGTGAGCTTGTTTTTGAAAATAAAAATCATTCCATAAAGAATATGTGTATTATTTATGATTAATGTCCCTTGCTGCTCTGTCTTAAACCTCAGATGAGGTTTTTGGTTGTTTGGAGCCAAAATGTGACAAAGTTGCTCATCTGAGTCGCATTATATTCGTTATTATTCATTCAGAGACGGAGGATCATCTCCAGCTCCGGTGCAGAGCCGCACTCTTTAGCTTCTGGTCAGAGAGGAGCGTTCTGTGTTGAAACTGGCGGTTCATCAGGAGGAAGGACACTTCCGCTTCGGCCCCCTCCCTGCAGTTTCCCTACTTTGTGTACGGTGCGGCAGAGCCTCGCCCTGCTGCTCGGTAAAAATAGATTTTCCCACATGAGCGTCTCCCTGTGTTAGTGTGTCCCTGCTGCGCTGATTAGGGAGGATGTTGGAGCAGGAATGATGCAGGGAAAGGACAGTTTTTTAAATTTTAACCTGATCCGCCGCACCTTTCAGAGGTTGTGGTTTTATTTTGACGCTCTTGTTTGAGGATCCAGGCAGATTTACACCTGCTCACCGCGGCAGGTGTCTGTGTAAACCGGCAGGAGGAATGTGTGTTTTTCCACTTAAGAGTGAGGACATGTCGGCCTTTGAATAGCAGGCCAGCAGTAATTGGCGGCTGCGCGGCTGAATTGTTGGGTGGTGAATCTAATTCAGCAGCTTTGTTTCGGCTGCAGAGCTGCTGCTGTTGCTCGCTGACCTCCGCGCTCAGCAGCACAAGGCTCCATTGTTGGCGCCGCAAACTTTGCTCTGTTTGACTAATTAACCAGGGCAGCCGACGGGAACACTTCCGCTTATTGTCAACGTCAAGATTCGGTTAATCGCAAACAAAGTGAATAAAGTTGAGGTTTTTACACACAGACTCAGAGTTTCATGTGAGGCATTCAGGAACCGTCTGTTTAAATCTGACAACAGACTCCACATACGACAATAAATCAATAACAGTATCTATTGGATAATGGGTAATACATCTGATCGAATATTAAATAATTTCACTGAATTCTGATCCAGAACCGCACAGCATTCTGGGAGATGTAGGCAGAGGAAAGGCGTTAGCCGCTCAGCCTCATGGCTAGCTCACATTTATCAAATCGTTTATCATTTATTGTGGAAAATGTTTTTATCATGATGAGAGTTTTGATTTGTTGTTACGATAAACTTCAGTTATTGATGGTAAATAAAAAACAAAACTGTCAGTATAATCAGAAATGTAACTTTTGCTTTTTTTCTCCACTGTTGGTTTGAAGAGAGCTTCAATAGATATCAGTAAATTTGAAAATGAGATTAAATGCAGGGACAGTTTAGTGACACAAATCACACTTTTTATGTGACTGCTATGCTTAAGAAGGGCCTTATTGGGTTTATTTGTCAGGAATAATACGAGTAGTAATTTTTAATAATAATAACGATTATAGTTTCTGTGTCATTTCGCAGCATGAGTTGCATTTTAAGCCCGTTGAAATGTGTATATTTGCAAAGGCAGCCGTTTGCAATCGCTGGTGTTCTGAGTTTAGAAATGTTTGCTGTTTGTTTGCAGGAACCTTTAATCAGATGCAGTGAGGTGCGATTATTCGGCTGCTAATCTGTCCTTCCAGATGGTTAGTTTGGGACAAATCTGCTGCCTAATCCTGGTACCAAAGAGAGGAGCGCTGCCTCTGACTCAAGTCCCAATAAAACGGGTTTATTATTATTGATTTATCCGCCAATAGGAAGAATGTGACAAAACGATAAGAAGTATGTTTGGAGGAGTCGAGGTGATTCTGTGAAACCTGGCCTTGTACTTTATTTTTTATTTTAAATGTATCCTGGCCTTTAAAAAGACTTTGTGGCTCATTGTCTGAGTCTCAACGGGTTTACTTTCACAAGTGGAGCGTTACGACTGCGGATAGCAATAAATAAAGCTTTTATTAACTTATTATTAGCATTACATATATATATACATATTTTATCTAAGGTTTCTTGTTTGTCTTTTCTCTCTTTCTGCAGGTGTAGAAACAGACTTTTACGGTGTTCACTCGTATTTCTCTATTTTCCTTCCTTTACTTTTACCTAGTTTTCCTTTTTAACTTTTTCCTCCACCTCTCTTGCCTTTTCGTTTTTCATTTCCGTGTCCACTGCATTTGAAATAAACCCAATTTCTTATAGAGATGTGGAATATTGCATATGTTGGTATAAATTCAAAATCAATCAAATAAACCCACAATCAGTGAAGCTGATACTTTTTTCATTTAGATGTTTTTGTAGTTTTTCCTTTGAATTATATTAAGATGTTAGAATTTGAACAAAGTTTATAATCGTCTACAAAATACTGTATTCATTAACAAGATAAACAATTGAACAATAAGACTAATTTGCATGCGTTTTTACCAAATAAAAGTGGAGAAAATTATAATTTGAGAGAAAATTAAAGCAAAATCTTTCGGGGTCGAGTTGAGAAACTAACGCTCAAAAATAGTTTCACAAGGGAATCTGAAGCTGAAGTATCAATTTCCCACCAGCACAATAATCCCAACAAACATTCAGTCATCTGGGATAGATGAAGCAGGCTAACGTTAGCGGTTAGCGATTCTTCAGAGAAATGCTTACAAACTGGACCAGTACAGGAAAACGGCCAGTTTGAATACTTTCTACCAGTATTGCAATGAAACGTGTCCAGAAATAGTCCAGGAAAAAGGTTCACCAATAAATCAGCCCAGATTTTCTTTGTTTTGGAAGATTGACGATCAGCTGATAAAAACTGATCACATCCACTCATCTTCTATTGTCACCACTGTTACTATATTTAGTAACGTTTCAGACAAATCAGCATATTTAAAGATCAGTGATCAGCCTGAAAACAGCAATCGGTGCAACGCTAGTCCAGAGGTTTGTCTGAGAAAAATACTTTATTTTTCTACTTGTTGGTTTGATTCTCGCTTCCAAAGTTCATTAATATAAATCACTAAAATCCTAAAATGGTTGCAATCTTCTCTCCTGGTGTTGGTTTTCTGTGTAAATGGGTTTTCCAGACGGCCTTTGAATGCATCACCCCCAGGCCTTAATGGCTCTGCAGCCATTCTGCTCTAAACTTAAATGCATCGCTTAATTAGGCTGGTAGTTTTAAAGCGGCTGCCATCGCTCAGACACTGTGTGCCAGAAGCACAGCCATAAAAACCAGTTTATCCAGTAAGAGGATATGGAGCTCTGTGTCAGGACCCCCCGCCCCTTTGTGCTGACTTTCTTCTGCTCACGCTCAGAAATAAGAGCTTCTGGATCCTGTTTCTGCCTTCAGTCCTTTTCAAAGCTTGTTGTGGTGATAAACCTGTTACAACCTGTAAGGTCACCAGACACATTTATGGTTTCTTCTCAGAAACAGAATTAGTTTTCATATTTGGAAAAATTACATGTTTACGTCTTTATTTCAGTCTCTAATCAGTGCAATTCAAAGATTTTGTGCTGAACTTCTTACAAAATAACGACTCGTTTTCAGATGACTCGACTAATTTTCCCCCCAACTAATGGAGAAAGGCTTCTTAAAGATTTACCACAAAAATAGGAAAACCAATCAATGATCAATCAGGTAAAATCCCAGTGGCTTGTTGGTTGAGTTCAGAACCAGTTTGGGCCGAATCAAAAACCACCGATTAATGTCAGATGCAGACTTTAGAAAATAAACATGCATGTCATCGGCGTAAAGATGGAGTGATGCATCATCAACGCACTGTAAAAACTACAGTGGAACATTTAAAAAAAAAAAAAAAAAGCAGTTTTAACAGTGAAGTTTTGCATTTATTGAACATTAAGAAATAAAATGGAGTACACAGATCCATCTCCTGCATGACA